GTGTATGTAATTACATAATTTTCGCAGAAAGCTAATTCAAAATTAAATTAAATCCAAATATTTATATGATACATTTATTACGTTACTATAAATATTATATGATCTTGCCACTAATATATAAATATCTGCGATTTATAAGGTACAATTATATAAATTTTTAAATTGCAGATTGATCCTTACAACGGTGCTGCCTTAAATTATCATCCAGCGATTTATCCTTATGGTCCTTATCCATATCATCCACGGTTACACACCGGTTCCTTGCCGCTTCATTTTCCTACGCAAGAAAGCTTACGATCCATGCAACATCCAGATAAACGTTTTCCTTTACTACAAGATCCAATTGTAAGGTATCCCTCGCCATCAACGAGCACTCTGCAGCATCCGAGTAATTTAGAGTTTGATCGTCTTCGAGGGAACTCCGCCACCAACAACATTGGCACAACAACCTGTTTACCATCGTTGTTTTTATCACCACCGTCTTTATCTACTTCGCATCAGGCTTTGCCTCGTAATCCGTTGATTAGCTATCCAACAAATAATCAGTTCTCCCAGAACAGAATGATACCGGATGTTGTTGCTGCAGCAGCCGCCGCTGCTGTCGTCGCTGCTGCTTCCTTTGATAGGCAACGAGACACGCTGACTTATAATAGATCAGAAACGGAAGCGTTATCGTCCGCAAGTATTCCAAACGTTATCGATAGAGAACCACCTCACGTGCCGGGTGGCACCACGAAATCAATTATCAATCGTGACGTAACCAATCAAACTCAAGACAATAATTTCAACGAGGAAAGTCACGAAAACACCAAGTATCAACAAATGCAAAATTTCTTATTCGATCGACTAGCACTTGTGAAAACTACGGATAACTTTGTGCCGACAAATACAGTTATCGGTAATGATGCGCGATCGATGACATCTATCGTTTCAGCGGCGCAATATCGTATGCCAGTAATTACTTCGTATGCACAATTGTCGAAAAACGTGCCAGGAACGGAAATTAGAAATTGCGAGACACCGCATCTAGGTAAAGTGAATCGCAGTCCGAATAGCTTACATAATTCCACGTGCTCAAACTGTGGTATCATCGGGCCAAAATTTAAATGTTTAGGATGTGAAATGGCTTTTTATTGTGATGAACGGTGCCAAGAGAAACATTGGGATATTCACGTACAAAGGTGTCCAAAGAAAATGCCAAAATTAAAGAAAGTCATTTAGAATTAATCATTCTACAAGTCAATCATAAGATTCAAAACGTCGCTTTGATGCACAAAATATATTTTATGTGGATTACAAATAATTATAATATAAAAGATATTTTTGTATAATCTTTTCATACAAGAGTCAACCCAGTTTTAAAATATAATATTACATAATAATATAGTAATAAAAGTAATATAGTAGTAACAGTAACAACAACAAAAATGTTTAACATTTTATAATATAACCTTTTATGTAATAAGACTGGTACTTCATATCATACACATAATATGGTAAAGCACTATTACATTTACATACATATGTGCTTAATACATATTTAATAAAAAAAAATATACCTTGATTAATCACATTTCTTTCAATTGATCAAAATACAAAGTCGATTTTTTTTAAATCACAAATTTTTTTAAACATTATAAATAAGAGTATCATTTTGTAAAAAAAGAATATAAAAGTTGTAAAAGATTGTAAAAATTTACAAAAAACAATTTTTGTATAGATGTATAGATTCAAAATTCATAACTGTTAAAACTTACTTTTTAATGACTCTGGTTTTGCCTTATTTGCCAGTTTGTTTAAAAGCACATGGGCTTCCTGATAATGAGGACTTGTTTTATCTGCAACTCTTTTCATCCATGCAGCTAAGCAAGGTCGATTTTCTTGTGGATTATATCCTATTATTCCTACAATTAAAAATTTGGTTTATATTGTAATATAATAACACAATCTTTATTTTTTGTTATCCTGTATATTAATCATGAAAATATTTTATTTCTAGCAATTTTATTGTTTATTTATATTTATTTTATTCTTAATAAATGCACATATTATTACTTACGAACTTGTTCCACCTCACACGCCCCTAAAATATCAGCAATGCTTATCTCAGAACCAGTTAAAAAATTTTTGTTCTTTAACCAGACATTTTCTAATTTATTAAGTGTTTGAATCATACGCTTTTCATGTTGTATTAAATTTTCTGGATTCGTTGGTTTTCCAGTTAATAGTGGCTTCATATACTATAATAAAAATTTTTATCAGTAATAAAAACATAAAATATTTAATATCATTCTCTGTTTATAAATAAAGGAATTTTTTTACATTCACAAAAAAATATGAAGCACAATCTAGTCTTGTATTAAAATGTTGCCATTCAAGATACTCATCAACTCTAAGTCGAAGTTTCAAGTCTTTGGGATACCAATGATCAGCTACCTTAAATTCTTCACAGATGTATCTCAAAATTGCAACACTACAAAAAATTTAACATTCTTTAATTTCTTCCAAATTAAATTATATTATTATTTATATATAATTTGTATATTGTATTTACAATGATTTTTACTATAATAATTTTACATATTGGTTCAGAGATTAAAAGTGAAAAGTTGTTAAAAGATATCAATGATATTTTTAACTTCAATTGAAATTATTAGTGTCTAAATATTAAAAGTAAAAAAATAGAAAGTGAAATATAACATTATACTTGTATGCAATTTAACTCATTTTATATATATATATATATAATATATATATATGTAAGTCCTTGTAGTAAATAATACCTTTCCATCATATTAAAACCATTGTGCTGAACAGCAGGTACTTTTTGAAAAAGATGAATTTTTTGATACTCTGGACTAAGATGTTCACCTTTTCCTATATTTATGAGTTTTTTTTCAAATGGTATATTGCATACTTTTAAAAATATATAAAGAGCTCTACTTGGCTGTGATAATAAATCATAATATAATTGGAGACTCATTTTTAATAATAAATGATTTATAACGGTGAAAATTACAAAATTAAATGGAAAAACCAATCCCTGAAAATAAATCGTAATTTAATAAAATAGTAAAATAATTATTTAATATAATCTTTGGATTTTTACGTAATTCTACAAGTACGAAATTCATATGTGTGTGTGTGTGTATACACACACACACACACACTTTAAGATTTATAGAATTACGTAATAACATTAATACAAAAATAACATAAATTATAGAATAACATTAGAATAACACTATATACATATATATGTTATCTTATGCAATTTCTCGCTCTTTAAAAAGTTTAAAATTTGTATATAATATAGTAATTTTTACATAATATATTATAAATATAAAATAAAATATAAAAAATATATATATAAAATAAAAATAAAAATACATTTAATGAAACATTTAGATCATAAATTTGTTCTTACTTTTTTTGTATGAAGATACGAGAAATATCACTTATTCGAATTTATTCATCGATAGGTCAGTTTCTTCAATAATTCGTACTGATCCTAGAACATAAGAATGCCTTATAACGATAACGTTTTATCTATTTAAGTTTCACATCGAAAAAGATGACGAGATTTATCTTTGGTGTTTAACGTGATGATAGCGTTCGTTCGTAGATCGAATAATAAATGAAACATAGAAAATACAAATAAGAAAATAAAAATTCTATGAAATTTGCTTAAAGATCAAGCAGATACAACACCTCCAGTAACTAGGAAGCAAGTGAAAGCACAAGTGGAAGCAGCAGTAAAGTGGAAGCAAATAGAGGCATCATCCGGTAAAGAAAATGGCTGACTGCGAGAAGGAGGAGGCCCATAATCTCGTAAGCTATTTGCCTTTGCCTACCGTTTATCTAATCACTTAGGCGACCTCGTCGTTTCGCAGTTCGCAATGATAGTATACCTTATCTATCGTCGAACTAATCAATTTACTCTTACTGTTCTTGTTGAAACAAGTTGATTATGTGGTTATGTTTTATCCAGTGAATGATTCTGTAATGTCACATTTATTTCTTATTTAGATATATGAATGCATAATTTGACAGTTCTATTTCAAGAATTCGTAAGAATATTTATTTTCTAACAATATAATTGATTAAATATACTTGCTCAGTATAGTTTTACAATTTGGCGGATATAAGATCCCAAATTGTACAAAATGTACAAAAATCATTTATATTCATTTGGAAATAAATATAATATATAGAATAAGTGCAGTTGTAAGACGTATTATGTTCAAAAATACATTAGGCAAATATTATAAACATTTGTGTTATAAAACGTTTTCAGCAAATGGAGTTTGAATGGGTGCTTCATGAAGAGGTTCATTCTTCACTATCACAGTTAAGAAATATTTTAATGGTATGTTATATGTTTTTAGAGTTATTCGTAAAACAAAGAAATTATTATTTATTATTATTTGTACATTATATTACAGGAATGCGCACAAAGATTTCCATTAGCATTATTTGGCAATGATCAACACAATAAGACAGATAGATTTGTATTTGCTGCGCCACATGACCAAGTGAAATGTGTAGCTGTTTTAACTGGTGATAGTATTACGAATGCAGTAAGTGCCAATAGTATTTTTAATTTACAACTATATTATCATCTAAAAAGAATATGTTTATAGGAAGTTAATTTTAAAGTCCAGCGTCAACAAAACATTAATATGAGAACAAGTATACAAACAGAACATCCTTGGAAATTACAACAAATTCAAGATGCTGCCAATCATTTACAACAAGCCATTGCTCACATAGATAATGTCGATCGTCATTATCCTTTTAAGACATCTGATGAAGTTATGCATGTATTAGGGAACATACTTGGTTGTCTCCAACGCAGTCGTACAAGTTTAATTGTTCCTAGAAAAAAGACTATTGATGATCTCATTAAAAGTCGTAATATGGTAAGTATGTAAATGTTTTTGGATGGTATTAAATATAATCAAACTTTATGTTGTATTTCATGTCTAAATTGGATTTTTTTATTGCAGAAATCATTAAATCCTAATCTTCCAGAAAATTTAGCTATTAGTTTTTATATCCAGAGTTATAAATTAGTTTTAGCAATATACCAGTTAGAGAATGCACATGGTAATGTTAAGTATGAAACACAACAAGCAGAATGCAGTGTTCCATGGTTGAATGATGCTTTAGTACTGCTTACTATAGCATTACAACTTTGCCAACGACTAAAAGACAAGGTTAGTTTGAATAAAACTATTTGAATATAACTAAATTTCTTTACCTTATCTGAGATATTTTTCAGATCTGTGTTTTTTCTCAATACAAAGATTTTACAGTTGGTCCTCACGTTCCTTCTACAGTGGCTTGGTAATGAAAGTATTTGAGTAATCAGACAACTTTCAATTAAAAAATTAGTTTTGTATATATACACATATATTACAGTATACCACGTTTAATGCTCTGGTAGCATTTTAGTAGTGAATTTTGTTTTTATAAATGAAATTTAATTCTAAAAACTAATTTAATTCTATTAAATTATGTAGCATTTTCAGAAATAATTTTTTGAGTCATATGTATACATATCTTGCTTGATACATCGTATTAAATTTGGAGATTAAATTTTACATAGCAAATTTTACACAAGAAAAATTCTTGTATATTAGTACAAGATCTGAGTCACGATTTTAAAAGTATTTTGCCAATTAGTTATGTGCTTGTATCTTGTATTAGTCCTTTTGATCATAATTTTTAATCTTATGTAGACAATTTTGATTTAGAATAGTTATAAATTCTTATTAATTAAGCACTATATTTACTATATCTCCTGTGATTTTTCGGAATGTTATAACAATTTTCTTTTTATTTTTTAAAGTTTTATTCTTAAGAGTGTATGCGATTCTAAAGTTTTTAACTATTATTTTAAACACTTATTTATTTTATTTACCAAAGAAGATACTGTTTAGTAAATGTTGACGTACATTACTGTGGTATGACGTTCCTTTCATTTTAATATATCTATATATTTATATACAGATAACTAAATTAGCGTTACATCGATCATTAACTAGGTGTTAGTATAATTGTTACTGATCGACGTTATTGTTATATATACACACAGCAATTTATAAGGATTTCAACACAGTTGTATTAAATATTTAGAATTGCCTTAACATAATAACGATAGAGATATGAAATTTTCAATATTAAGATCAATTTTCGTATTGAGTTAAATGGAAAGATTTTATCTTATTTCTAAATTTTTATTTATTCTGAATTGAGATATAAAAATCTTGGATACATATTTATATTAATTGTATATACGTATATATATATCTATACGTATTCAAGTATAAATTTCTTTCACTTAAATTTTCTTTTTTATATTTTCGTATTAATATATACATATAATTTAGGTATAAATAAACGAATCATGTCGATTTACTTTCCATATAACTCAATAAAAAGAACATGTGATAATAGATCACTTTTATGTTTTTGAATCATAAATACTTATATAAGCAATGCAAAGCTTTTAAATAGCTTGTTTCTAATACTACCGATTAAAATATTACTGGATAAATCACGAATCAAATATGTATATTTATTTTATTTTAATTAGTTATATATTTGAAATATTATAAATTTACAAATGCTGTGGTTTAGGTATTAAAAGTTTATAGTTTCATTTTATGCATCATTATATCTCCTTTTTGTTATTATGTTGTGTACTTATATATTATATTTTATCAATATCATTTTACAAATTATATTTTGTTTATAGTTATTTGTTATTTTAAATATCTTGTATGAAATATAAAAGGTACTTAAATAATTATATCATGAAATTATTATTTGTTTTCTTTGATTTGCATATTTTTGAAATAAGAATAAAATAGAAGTCTATGCAAACAATTTCTGTTGTTAATTTATAATGATTAAAAAAAAGGATTAGCATGGTTTTCTCATATATATAATGCATTTAAGAAAAATAATAATATATTCATACAAAATTCGAAAAAATTTTGAATCTAAAAACAATAAAAAATGTAGTATGTAGAAGAGTTTACAAAATGTTTCCAATACGAAAATTTATGGTGTGTATACATATATATATATATATAT